GGGATCAACCTCAGCAGTCAGTCGGCGCTGCCGCCGGGCAGACTGGCGGGCTGGCCCGCTCTCCAGCGCAAGAAGCTAATGAAGTATATATGCCAGCTGTTACACTCATTTTGCCAGACCCCAGGAGGACAGCATGAAGACAGGCTGTGATCAAAGGCTTTGGAGATCACTGAGGAGCCGAGCTGCAGGAATGTCTGATTGCTTTCTCTTGGAATGCCACGGGCTTCAATACCTTTTTTTTTCCTTAAGGTATCTTGGTGTGAGGTTTAATGATCTAACTCTGCTTGCTCACACTAAAGGCACAGTGTTTTAGTGAATTCCGGGGGTTTTGTTTGCTCTCAATTTAAGTGCTTTGAAAATCGGCAATTTTTGTTGGACTGACAGAAACAGTCTTGGAGAACAAGTTAAAATTAAGTTTTTCTTGGTAGTTGTATAATAAGTGATCTATGGGGAAAAAAAAAGCTTCCCATGCTTTTGGTGTTAAAGAATGTATAGTGTTATAAAGTGAGGCTAGATGATTTTGAGTTCCTGCTGTTGAGGGAAAATGTGGAATCTTTCATATCTAAAGCTGTTTGACTCCAAGCTGTTGTCAGGTTTTCCTAGGGCTTCTTAGTGAAGGCCATTAGACGTGGAGTGGGCAAAGTGAATAACTCCTTCTGTTCCCAGGCATGCTGTTTCCTTCCTCCTCCTCCTTCCCTGCTTTCATGGGACTCAGAGCATTTGGGTAGGAAAGAAATCCTCTCCTCCTCTACCTACAGCATGCTGAAATGGCTCATGGAAGGTCAGAGTAGTTTTGGATGGGGGCTATGAAACCAGGAAGACAGTAAAGGTCAGATGAGATTTGGAGTGGAGTGATGGAGCCAGAAGGACAGTAAAGGTCAGATGAGTTTTGGAGGGGAATGATGGAGCTAGGAGGATGGTTAGATTGATGTGGAGTGGTGGTGACTACATAGCTCTCGTGGCTGTTGGGGAAGGAGATCCTGGCATTCTCCTGCCAGCTGCTCTGAGGTGCCAGGAAGATGATACAGACAGCTAGAGGGAATAAAAACTGTCAGAAAAGGGAAAGAAGAAGTGTAAGATAATGCTTTTTTTTAGTGTCTCTGTCCTCTTCTGCAAGGGTGGAGGTGAGGAGTTTACAGTTAGGCGAATAAGCCAGGCAGGTTCTCAGCTGTGTTTTGAAGGACACAGGATTCTCTGGGGCTGGGTGCCATATGAGAGGGGGCAAGCAGCATTTTGTCACCTTTTAGAGTGTAAAACCTTTTTTGGGGGCAAGCACAGGTAGGAGTGAGTTAATTTGGAGGTGATAGGTAAAGTTGGTTACACTGAGTGGCCCAGACATGGAGACTTGCATTTGAAGACTGCTGGTTTCTGGAGAAACAGCAACAGGCATGAAGCTTTGGGAAGAGAGGAGTACTGGAAACCTCTCTGGTTCTCTGGGCTCCTGGATGTTCATTGGAATGGTGGGGGCAATGACTCCTCCTGACACAAGTCCATTCTCTTCCTTGTTTCCCTTGATCTGTGAGCAGCGAGGTACCATAGAGCTGACTGAGGAGGTCAAGTGCTGGATGAAAGGAACTGGAAGATTACTCTAGATGAAGGTGTCTGGGTGGAAGCAGGAAAAATCCAGGCCTTTCCCATACTGTGGCTTTCGGGTATGTGACACTGGTGGTCTGGAGGAATTGCCAGTGATAGGAGTTAATCCATGAAAACCATGTACATCTCTATTCAACTTTGAATATTGTTTATATGAGTAATTTGGGTTATTATTGTTTTATTTTACTTGTCAAATAAGCAGCCCCTTGAAAGTAGCCCCTTTTCTCCATGACACCTCTTCCTTCAAAGTAACCTGTACTATTTGATCCACCAGTGCTGGAGATGCACCTTCTCAAATGAGGAACACTGAACAGTGGGCAGAGTTGTTCCTGAGTTCGTCTTGGAGTCTGAGACACTGAAATGTCTAACCAGAGTGCTCCTGTTGCCCTTCCCAGTATGTCCCCAGTGACTGGTACTTGCTGTCAAAGTGAGAGTTGAGGGTTATGGAAATGATGGAAAAGTCCTGGTTTTCTATCACTAGGGCTTTTTAATGCTCCAATATGTGTCCATATAATACTAAAGAGGCAAAGTTTGTCCGCTGGGTTTCCAAATATTCCAAAACTATGAGCTGTGGTCTTGCCCTCTCCTCTGTACCTAACAAGGGGCTTCTGTAGTGACACCATCTGCAGAAGAACCAGAAAGAAGCAAATCTTTTTGGGTTATTGCTTGCTGCTCTCATCTTCCCCCTGTGTGCCGGTATCTCCTAGTGAGTCAGAGGTTTCTGCATTCCCTTCAGAAGCGGATATTAGAGTAGCTTTGTTCGGATGCTGAAGTGTTGTTGCTGAACAATGCTGCTCCAATTAAAGGGAATAATTTTTTTTTTTTTTTTTTCCTCCAGTCAAATAATTTTTGTCTTTTTTGCTTTCTTTGACACTGAAATGTCTAACCAGAGTGCTCCTGTTGCCCTTCCCAGTATGTCCCCAGTGACTGGTACTTGCTGTCAAAGTGAGAGTTGAGGGTTATGGAAATGATGGAAAAGTCCTGGTTTTCTATCACTAGGGCTTTTTAATGCTCCAATATGTGTCCATATAATACTAAAGAGGCAAAGTTTGTCCGCTGGGTTTCCAAATATTCCAAAACTATGAGCTGTGGTCTTGCCCTCTCCTCTGTACCTAACAAGGGGCTTCTGTAGTGACACCATCTGCAGAAGAACCAGAAAGAAGCAAATCTTTTTGGGTTATTGCTTGCTGCTCTCATCTTCCCCCTGTGTGCCGGTATCTCCTAGTGAGTCAGAGGTTTCTGCATTCCCTTCAGAAGCGGATATTAGAGTAGCTTTGTTCGGATGCTGAAGTGTTGTTGCTGAACAATGCTGCTCCAATTAAAGGGAATAATTTTTTTTTTTTTTTTTCCTCCAGTCAAATAATTCTGGTCTTTGTGGCTTGCTTTGTGTACTCACTGCCTAACAGTTGATCTTACCACGCCGCAAGCCTGTGAAAGCCAAACTGGTAGGTCAAAGGAGGAGTAGCTGTTGACACTGGCAGCTAGAAACATGTGAAGAGAAAGATAAACAGAGGGAAATCAGAGACTGGATAAAGTAGATCTCCAAAGATAAAGTTTAGTTAAAGATAATGAGCTGGCGTTGTTTAAAGACAGCTGCAAAATAACCCAGTAGCTCCATGTGCTGGGGTTAAAGTTGAGCTCGAATATACGTTTCATTGCTTTTCATAAATAAATAGTGGAGGGAAGATTGGTGAAAAGCAACATTGCCCCCACCCCTCTTCAGCAAAGTGTTTGATGTTAACAAGTTCTCGGGGTGTTTACTTTGTTCTCGGCGTTGGCTGGTGGAACAGCTCTCCTGCCCTTGAACCCAGCAAGAATTCAAATAAACCCAGAGGCTTTCGGCACAGCCATCTGCAGCTCACCAAAACAGTCCTCCTGGAGCTGGGAAGCCAGCCTGGCTCTTCCCAGTAGCTGAAGGGAATTCACTGTATTAGAGCAAACTGCCCCAAAACATGAGCAGATCTCTGCAGGTATTCTTGCAGCCTTCCCAAGCTGTCATTATAAGCCTGGAGAGTAATTTGCAGGGAGAAGTAGCAGTAAGCAAATAGCTCTATAAAATCTGGAGGGATTCTTTTATTATTATTGGAGTCTCTTCCTGATGCTCATTTTACATATATATTTTATGGTGATGTTCTGATGATAAAATACTCTTATTTTAAAATAAACTTTGGGAATGATTTTGCTGTTGATATCTGGGATCCTCCTTGGAAAGCAAGTGGCTCCGCAAGTGCTTGATAAGGTGGGTCTTAGTGCTGGTTTTGTTGCACTTGTTTCTACCAGTGAAACTCTCACTGTATGTGTGTTAGAAGCATGTTTATATACACGTCTGATATATGAGAAGTTTAAAATATATGTTGAAAATTATCAGCAGCACAATTGCACAGCCAGGCTGATAAATGAAGTAACTCTGCTAAATGAACTCAAATCTTATCCGTCACAGTCTTACATAAGGCAAAGAGAAAATTCAAGTGAACGACAGCTGCAGATTATTTTTTTCTTTCCTTGGAGAAGGGAGAGTTTGATGGAGACTGAGCATCAGAAGCTGGTTCTGAGACTCACCTTGTGCAAGTTCGGTTGCTGGTTTCACAATTTAGTTTGTGCGTTGCTGGTTCTGTGATTCAATTGGCAATTTTAGGTGCTGAAAATGAGGTTTTATAAAGCAGAATGGTCAGGTGAGAGCTGGCCAAGGAAAGGACTTTCTTCTCGTAGGAGCAGCAATGTAGATAGAAGCACACATAACAGGTGTCGCAGCACTAGAGATGAGAAAGCTGGTTTGGAAATATAAATGAGAAGGAGATGAATCCTGGTGATTTGTTTTCAGCAGATGTTTGCCACCGCTGGGCTGTGAGAGCAGGGAGCAGATGACACGGCTCAGCAAGCGGGTTCAGAGCAATTATGAGCAGTAGCTGCATAGCAGCGTGTAGATTCATAAAAAACTTGTAAAACAAGTGCAGCCTGGTGATAGATGGTCAAATGATTATTGTTTGCAAACAATATTATCTCCAACAGATAAGCTGTTTACTTTGGACTTCCATTCCACTGGTTGGAAAGTAGTCTTCATTCATCAAGGCAGTAAGGTTCGGCACGGATGCCTCCTGCCCCAGCTGTGGAGGAAAAATCTTAAGAGTAAGAATAGTCCTTGGAAACATGGTTAAGCTCAACTTCTAACTCTTTTTTACAGATGGTTTCTATATTGCAGGGTATTGGCTTCTTCCTGGCTGCACCACCCCCCCCTTTTTTTTTTTTTTTTTTTTTTTTTTTTTTAAACCCCAAACACTTTGTTGTGAGAAAGTTAAAAGACTAACTCCTGGAATTTACAGTAGACATCTGTTTGTTTGTTTTGTAGCTGTTTTGGTGCCTCATCTTAGTCCGAAGCTTCATCTTTTCAACTCCTGTGATCTGGCGCTATGCATCCAGACCCCAGATGCTTACAGGCACTGCTCTGCATCACTGCCACGGGACTCATCACTGCCATGAGTTCAGGTAAGGCCTCAGCTCCACGATTTGGAATTTTTGGAAGGTGAGCCCCTCCTTTTGGGTGAGCAGCCATTTGGAGTGTTTTGAAGCAGCGCATTGTCAATAATCCGCTTTGGAGGAAGTGTGGCGCGCTTCAGCACAGCCTTAAGCTGAGTATGTGATGGTACCTTTGAAAATTTGTCTCCAAAGAAGTGTTAGAATGTTGGAAGACTCTCAGTTCCGTGGCTTTGTTCTTTGGGAACTCCCTGGACTTATAGCTGGACGCTAATATTTTGAACACAAGGTTTTGCTGCATGCAGCGCATCTCATATTCCCATGGGGTTGGGAAGGGTTTGAAATTTGCAGGGGGAAGGAGGGATCTGATCTTTGGAACATGAACACTGATGCGTGGTTGCAGTTGGAGCAGCTCTGGCATTGGAAAAAAGAAGAGGGATGGTTTTAATTGACACATCTGCTCTGTGTAGTCAGCTTGTCTTAACGTAACCACACAAAAAAGAAGCTTTTACTACTTTTAGCACTTCATAGCCAATCGTTATAAGCAAATGGAATAAATTTGATTTTTCAAGCAGTCATAGGAGATAAATTCCAGCTGTGGGGTCACTGCTACCAATTTTGACTTTTACACTGAGCATAAAGTGTTGGTGTCATAAGCAAAGGCAGGGGCAAAGATGAAAGTGACAGTGACATTTCCTAGCTAGCAAACTGAAAAGGTCATTGCTTTTCTCTTATCCTTAGAAATTCAAACGGAACTAATAGGAAAAACAGCATCCTAATTAAAAACTAAAAATGGACATCTGGAGTCCCATGAAATGCTTGGATACCATTTTTCATGGATTTCATCTTTTTTGTTAACTGAAGCCACACTTGCATTTCGAGTTGTATTTTATGTTTATGCAGATAGTTTATGGTTCTGTTAAAAATGCGCAGTTTCTCATCTGAAACTCATAAAGAGAGTTGGATGGACTCACTTTAGGAGAAAAGCATGAGCTGAGGGCCCCACCTACAAGAAAACTCTCTTACTTGGATGTCGTTTAATACTGCCTTGATCTGTGCTATCTGGAATTCCTTAGCTTATTTACAAAATATAAATTGTTTTCTCCTGCCACTGCATCTATTTTTAATGTATTTTTTTTTCCTCCTGTATTTCTAACAAAATCAAAATCATTGGTGTTAGTTGCCTTTTGCTTGCTCTCTTCATAAAAAATCTTCAGTGCAGAATTCCATAGAAAACAAATGGAAATAATTCCCAGTGTTTTCTTGGCCAGGATACGAAAAAATTTCCTCCAACAAGCAGGAATTTTCTTTTGGCAAATAAATGGCTTCTCATAACCAAGTTTTGTGGAACAGAACCTTTTATTTATTAGCAGCTTTTCCTGTTTCTGTTCATCTTTACTCGGTGAAGATAAAGGATGCCCAATTCATCATTCTTGTCCTAATGAAGTCCATATATTTGGAATTAACAAGAGCCTTTGCTGCTCATCCAGCTTTTTTTATCCTGCTATTTTTAATTAGTTCTGCAGACTCGGAGTCAGTTCTGCAGAAGTACCTGGCAGGCTGCTGCCATCTCTAAAATTTTACAAGTCACGTCCTGGCCTGCTTCAGTGGGACAGCTCAGCCCCAGCTCCATGTTCCTGTGCTCAGTCTCTTCAGGTGATGGGGCCATTTCCCTCCACATAAATCCAGTGGGATTGCAGGCTTTGCTGCCACGAGCAAGTCAGATGGCTTCACCTCTTGCCCTGGAGACGTAGAATCATAGGGTTTGGAAGGCACCTCTGAAGATCATCAAGTCCAAACCCCTGCTGCAGCAGGAACACCCAGGGCAGGTCACACAGGAACACAACAAGACGAATCTTGAAAGCCTCCAGAGAAGGAGACTCCAAAACCTCTCTTGGCAGCCTGTCCCAGGGCTCTGTCACCCTCACAGGAAAGAAGTTTCTCCTCATGTTGAGGTGGAACTTCCTGTGTTGTCACTTGGTGCTGTTTCTCCTCGTATCACAGGCACCACTGAAAAGAGACTGGCCCGTTCTTGACATCCACCCTTCAGATATATGTAGACATTAATAAGGTCCCCTCTTAGTCTTCTTTTCTTCAGACTAAACAGCCCCAGGTCTTTCAGCCTTTCCTCATATGGCAGATGTTCCAGTCCCTCATCCGTGTAGCCTCCACTGGACTCTTTCCAGTATATCCCAGTCCCTCTTGAACTGGGGAGCCTACAACTGGATACAATACTCCAGATGTGGTCTTAAGAGGTCAGAGTAGAGGGGGAGGAGAACTTCCCTTGACCTGCTGGCCACACTGTTCTTCTCACCTTCCCTGTACTCTGGAGCTGCCTTTGTTTAATTGCCACTGCTCTCCTCACAGGGTTTGAATCTTGTCTTGAAGTTTCCCTGGTGTGGGAGAGAGTGGGAATCTGTCCTGAGTTCCCTTTGCAGAGGAGAAGGTGACACCTCCTTAAGTGTCATTAGCAACCTGGAGTTTAGAGACCCTGTGTTTGAACCAAATAGTCTTTTACCAATGTTTAATCTGAGGAAAGAAGTTTGCCAGGTCTGTGAGCAGTGACAGAGCTTTGGGAGAGAGCGTTAGTATCAACCAGATAATGGACAAGGTTTCATACAGGCCAAGTCATCTTTAGTCTTATCACGTGTTCATGCAAAACGCTGTTCACTAACTGAATATTTACTTTTTTTTTTCCTTTTAGATTTAACTCCCCATTTTATTTCTGAGCCCTTGTCCACTGTTCAGAAGCCTGGTGGGCCTGTCCGCCTCAGCTGCTCTGCCGAGCCCCCCACAGCTCATCTCTCTTGGCTGTTGAATGGGAAGCCTCTGGATAGCAAGGTGGGAGAAGTGGAAGTGCAGCCGGGATCCCTGACAATCACCTCCCTCAGCCCGCCAGCCCTGGGGCGCTATCAGTGTGTTGCCAGCAGCAGCGCGGGTGCCGTTGTCAGCAGCCCTGCCACGGTATCCATGGGCAGTAAGTCCAGTTTTCCTTATATTTCTCCCTCCCAGCAAGTTATACAGACCTCAGGTGGTTTTAGAAAACATCCAGTTTCCTGTTTTGGGTTGTTTATTTCCTCAGTGTTTAGTGTATGATCATGTGTACTCTTTTATCCATTTTTGGTTTTTTTCCCCTCTATTATCTGAGACCTGTCAGGTGATGCAGCCCTGGAAAAGATCCCCCCAAAAGCTTGTGGAGCTCCATGCTCGAAAGGTTTTAAAGACTTAGCTAGACAAAACCACAACTGATTGATTTAGTGTTGGTGATAGCTTCATTTTGAGCTGAGGGCTGGGCTGGAAACTGGAACAGGCTGTCCAGGGAGGTGGTGGAGGCATCATCCCTGGAAGTATTTAAAAGAAATACAGATATAGGACTTAGCAGCATGATTTAAGCACTGAACAGGTAGATTAGGTTGTGGTTGGACTTGATCATATCCAAGGTCCTTCCTAACCAGGATGATTCTATGATTCAGGAGTCCTTTCAAGCAAATAGAAATATTATTCAATGAAATAACAGTAATTCCAGTTAATTGACCTGACAGTGCAAGGTTCCCAAAAGCTTCTCTTCATAAAGGATCTTGAAACAGCAACTGAGCTGCCATACTGTGGCAGTAACATGATTAAGAGTTGATTAGAAAAGAGGAGAAATGAGTGGGAATTCTTTCCTGGGAAAGAAGTGGGAGCTGCAGGTTTTCCTTGTCACTTACGTCACTTCATTTGCTCAAAACTATCCAGATGTTCTTCAGATGGGGACAGTCTTCTGTCCTTTTAGGTACAATTTCTCTGGTTCTTCTAATCAGTCTTTACCCTAATGCTTGATCTGTAAATTATTTGCTCTTAAAGGACTTCAGAAGAGGAAGGGCAATGTTTTCCACATGGAAAGGATGATGTGCTAAGAGAGGGAACATAATATTCCTGCACGAGCAGCGTTTGTCTACTGGGGATGGTGGGGCTGTCTGAATCAGGCCTTTGTCAAGCAGGATTTGAGTGATTTCTCTGTAAGGGTACCTCATCTATGGAGCATGTCCGGAATCCCCTTGGGAGGAAAATTTCTTAAAAGTGAGAGAAGTGAGTGTTTTGGTAAAGTACTGACCCATAGCAAGACCCTCTCAAGACAGCTGTAAGGGTGGGTAACGTAGAAAAACTTCACAACCTGGAGGATGCTTTGAAGGTGTTGGGAGAAGAGCAACTTTGGCACTTTGTTCCTTCTCAGGAGGTTTTAGTAGCAGCAGATGAGGAGGTGTTGTTTGCTGCCAGGGCTTTCTGCTCATCTTGGTGCTTGTGGCATTGAGTGGGAGGCACTGCTGGATTCAGTGTTAATTACACCCTTTCTGTAGTGGACTACAGAAAAGACCATGAGTGTCTATATGCTGCACCGTAGAAGACAATGAGCATGAAACTAGCTACATTTTAATCACAAATACTGAGCTTGCTACCCTTCCCCTTTCCCAAGCCATGGCTGCTCTTAACCTTTTACCAATTCTCTTCCAGGACTGGGAGATTTTGACGCGGCAGTGAAAGCTGCTGTTGCAGCAGAAGAGGGAGGCTCAGCTTTCATAGGCTGCAAGGTGCCAGAAAGTAACCCTAAAGCACAGGTTCGCTTCCAAGTGCGGGGAAAATGGCTGGAACAATCAACAGGTGAGATGCTTGATGCCTCTGGGCAGCAAGATAAACAGCCAACAAAAGCTTAAAGGGAAAAGAAAACAACCCCAAAACTCCAGAAACTTGCAGAACATCCTGTGCAAATCACTCTCTAAACCTACCTTTGTGAATTCATATCCTTTGCATGGCATGGTTTCTTTGTGATCCTACATTTAGAGTAGATTAATACAAATATATGACAAATTATTAAAAAAAAAATAATTAAAAAAGGAAGCCTTTTTTTTTTTTTTTAAACTAAGTTAAATATAATCCTCTTTTTTACTTCCCCACTTGTTTAGACAACTACCTAATTCTTCCATCTGGAAACCTGCAGATTTTGAATGTATCTTTAGAAGACAAAGGATCCTATAAATGTGCAGCGTACAACCCAGTTACTCATGATCTCAGAGTAGAATTCCCTGGACACAAGCTCATAGTCACACGTGAGTATTCAGTTCAGCTTTCCAGAATTAGTGCCTCTCAAACTGATTAAATAACATCCCTGTGATTTGTAGAGTGGACTCATCAGCCTAAAGACCCACTGGTCTCAAATACCACATTACGTAAAATCTGTCCTGCGTTATTTGCACATTCAGTTCGTGTTTCCCTCTCCTGTGAAGGAGCAGCATGGCTGCTTTTCCAGTCCCAAGAGTAGAGAGCACTGGAAAAGAGGATACTGCTAATATTCCAGTCACCAGAACGGTTTGGAGCAGGACTTCTGGAAGGGAGTGTTACTTGAACATCATGGCAAACTCTGGATGGGGCAGGAGAGAGTGCGGCTGAGAAGGCTGGTTAGTGCTAAGCCTTGTCTCCTTTCCTCCAGGCCCTTCCTCAGGTGACTTCCACATCCTGCACCCACTGTCCCCACAGAGCCTGGCAGTGCCCCGGTACAGCTCCCTGACACTGGAGTGCGTGGTCCAAGGGTTGCCTCCAGCTTCTGTCCGCTGGGTGAAGGATGGCCGGGATGCGCTGAGCAAAGGAAGGTGGAAACTGCTGCACTCCCACCTGGAGACGGACAGGCTGGAAGCATCGGACTCGGGAAATTACTCCTGTGTGGTGGGAAGTGGATTGGGAGTAGTGAAATCCGTGAACTATTCGCTCACTGTACTTGGTAAGACATAAAGAAGTTGTCACATCCCAGGCAGTGAATGTTCTGGCTGTGTACTTGCTGCTTTTGGCATCTGATTACAAATAGCTGAACATTCTTGCTCAACCTGAGGATACTAAAATAAAGAATAAAGATACCTTCATAAGGACCCTATCTCTTCATCTCTCCTAAGCTGAAACCCTTAACTCTCTATCTCTTCAAATCCTTTGCAGTCTGAAATAATTAAACAGTAAAAGATAACAAACTCGGAGAGAAGAACTGACTATTTATTTTTCTGTGGAGTGCCAAGTGCACATGGAATAAAGTGTCAATGATATGCCAGAGATCAGATGTTTCTCTTTTGAGGTTGTATATAAGCAAAAAACTGGTGAGGAGAGGTGATATGTTTGGATGAGGACAAAAAAAAAAAGCAAAATAAATAGATTTGGCCTCTTTTATGTGGCTGCAAGTCATTCCTAATCTCCCCTTTCCTTTGTAGCAGATTTTCCTGTTGCTTGAAGATTTTCCTCCATGACAGTTTTTTTTTTTTTTTTAATTTATACATTAGAGTAACCTAGAAAACAGATTGTTGATGCAAAATACCTTTTGTTATGGGGATGGCACTAAAGAAATATTTTGAAGATACGAGCCTTTTATTTGTGGTATGAATGCAAATATGCAACTGTCTGGAGCAGAAGGGAGAGACCATTAAAATAATCAAATCTGTGGGAAAAACAGCTTCAGGCTGGGTAGAGCTAGAAGGATGTGGTACTTTTTCAGCCTTTGTATGCAAGAAGTTTGTGGAATGTTTCACAGTATTTCTTTCAAGATCAACATGATGGTGGAAGTTGTAGTCAGGTCGGGTTGGACTCTTGTCCCGGGCAACCGGTGACACAAGAGGGCCTGGCCTGAAGTTGGACCAGGGGAGGTTTAGGTTGGATATCAGGAAGCACTTCTTCACAGAAAGGACGATCAGACATTGTAATGGACTTTCAAGGGAAGTGGTGGAGGCACCGTCCCTGGAGGTGTTCAAGGAAAGGCTGGATGTGGCACTTAGTGCCATGGTCTGGCTGATGTGGTGGTGTTGGTCATAGGCTGAACTTGATCATCTCAGAGATCTTTTCCAGCCTTGGTAATTCTGTGATTCTGTTTATATAAAATTATCTCCCTTTGTAGAACCTGCCTTAATCTCCAAGGGCCTGCAGGATGAAACTGCTGCTGCTGGAGCCACCGTGCACTTCTGGTGCGAGGTCCATGGAAGCCCTGCTCCCAGCCTCACCTGGCTCCACAATGCAGCTCCCCTCCCTCCTTCTTCACGACATCTCCTTATGGGAAACCGTCTGCAGATCCGCGGGGTCACTCAGGGGGACTCTGGCCTGTACCAGTGTGTAGCAGACAACAGGGTCGGATTTGCACAGTCCACTGGGAGACTTCGTGTCCAGCCAGGTAGGAGCACTTGCAGCCCTCCAGAACTCAAACATTTGTACTTCAAGCTTTATTCTGGTTTATTTTTTCATCTGTGATGTATCAATTTGTTTTTGAGCACTGTTTGTAGCAAACCTTCCAAAGCAGATGCTTTCAGTTGAATTTTAAGAGATGTAGGTATTTCTGGCGCACTGTGGTTACTTGATACTTAAAACCTAGATTGCCAGCTGCAACTAAGTCAGGTTATGATTGAATTGGACACAATTTATTCTTCAGTAGAACTAGGGTCCTGCTGGTTGACCTGATTTCCTTAGCAGCATTGGCCAATGAGTAATGATGCTTGTTCTCTATCCTCAAGTTTACAAAATGATGATCAGATTTGGGGTTAATGCACAGTTTCCTCTGTCAGATTAGAAGGTATCAATGGTCTTTTTGATCACTTTTCAGTCTAAGATACTTCCCAATACCCTGAGAACTTGATTTCTGCTGCTGCAAGGCTGTTGGCAAGACTGTTGCTGTTCCTGTTCTCCCCCATCATGTGTAGTTGAAGCCTTTGACCTTCTCTGTACCTGTCAAGATTGATGTGAGCTGCACTGAGGCTGGTTGGCAGATATTTTGTGACCTGCTTGCCTGTAGAGTGGACTCAGGCAGTCTAGTCTGACAGTCAAGCCTTCCTTATTTAGAAAGTTTGAAGTGTGGTTTGAGAGTATTTTCCATCCACCTTCTCTAAGCACAAGTCTCAACTGATCTCTTCAGACTGGAGAGAGAAGTGGTCCAGAGAAGAAAAAAACTGTTAAAGTGGTTAGAAAGAAACATGCGTGACTCTTTTAATTGCTCATTTTGGCATTAAGCATCATGTTCCTTAGCCAAATTAATTCTTTGGGGTTTTTTTCCCCCATAGGCAGAGGCTCTAGGCCAGTTATAGTCTCTCCCCCAGTAAGTGTCACTGTGACAGGTGGCGGGGACGTCACACTCTCCTGCAATGCCACTGGCCTACCCCTTCCCGTCATTCACTGGTATGACACCAGAGGACTGATTCCCAGCCACCCTTCCCAGGTGCTTCCCTCAAAACCACAGAAACCTCCTCCAGCCTTGCCAGGTGACACTGTCATGGATCCCACCTCCTTCTCTGTGACTCACACAGGCTCCAGCTCCTTGCTTGTGAGGAGTATGACTCCGGAGCGTGCCAGGCAGTACACGTGCAAAGCCACCAACGAGCACGGCTCTGTGGTGTCAACAGCCTTCCTGACAGTTGGTAAGCACAAAATTGCCTGTTTGGCTCCCTGAGCTAGGGGAGAAATGCTTCAAAATAGACATTAACAGGAGGTAGGTAGGGTGAGGAAGCAAAGCAGAGGAGTCTAAGCTGTCTTGGTGGACCAGTTCCTCCCTTCCCCCTTAGCCTGTGTGTGTTGCATGGACTTAGCATTTTTTTTTCATGTGATAAAAACTATCCAAGGATGGCTGTTTAAAATTATTTCTTGAAATTGCTAGTAGGAACAGACGGTTCTTAAACTAAAGGCAGGATGGGAAAGAGATTTCCTTTCTTCCCATTGGAATATAATGTGATATTAATAACAGGTCTAAGCTTCCTCGAGTTCCCTTCACAGGAGCAGAGTTTTAGTTACATGAAGTGACATCTAGTTACATTCTTAGCTCCTTCACCATCTTAGTAAATTCAGCTGAATGTCAGTGGGATTTAAGGTCGGCCCCATATTTGAAGTTCTTTGTTACCACCTATTAGACTTTAAAACTCATGTAAATAATTTGAAAAGATGCTCCAAGATTCACTTAGAGGAAGGAAGAAAGATGAGGCCTCCACAAAGCCATCCTATCATGTAGTTTTGTAAATAAGTCATTGTTGGACCTTGCTGAGTAGGCACACAAAACTTATCACCCCAGAATTTGGTCTGTGGCAAATAGAAAAATCCCACAGCTTTGCCTCAGAATATTCTGGCGGTAAGTTCAATTTTCATGTTTTGTATATGAACTTCTATTAGTCCCTAATATGTCGTGCTAGCTGCTGATTCTGGTGCAGAGGGTGGTTAAGGCATTTGGTTTTGATCTACAACTCTTTAAGTTGTTTCTGGGAGCTGTTGGGCTTTTAGGACCATTCCCAACCGTGCCAAAAGACACACTCAAGCATTCTGATGTTTTAACGAAGAATTTGTGCCAGGTAACGAAGCTGAAGCACCTGAATGTGACTTAAACTGTGATTCCATAGTGTTTCTTTGGCAGTAGGAGCAATTCAAGAGCTCTCAGCCTCAGCAGTGGGTTCCAGTAATTCACCTTGTGCAAGCACGCAGCGAGGGAGCAAGGGAGAGAGCTTCTTTGGCTGAAAAAACTTTATTATTTTTTTTTCTTTTCTGGTGGATCTGTTACACAATGTGATTCATTGTGCAGTCTGAAAAGTGGGCAGTGCAGCTTAAGGCACCATCATAGCAAGAAACTACTAACGTGTACAACAAGACCCTCAAGGTCCTTGACCCACAGTGCTTAGTTTAAGTCTGTTTTAGAAGGGCAGTTGCTTCCCAGAGCTACTAAATGCAGATGCAGTTCTCCAAAGTAACTTGGTCTAATGGAAATGAAAGAACAAAATACATTCCAGGAAGCCTGGGGAGAAGACAGGTTAGTATGAAACACATTTATTTTAGTTAGGAGGTGGGTGATCTCACTGCTGTGCCACATTTCCAGGCTTTTTCAGGCTGTGCTAAGGTACTCAGAGAGCTTGTAAGGAGGGGGGATCCTCCTCTAGGTGTTTAAGAAGCAGGAAAGCAACTCTCAGGAATGGGATCTGTTTGCACAGCAGAGACAAAACACAGATGTTGCTTTGCTGCTCTGTGAACCCAGGGCATGCCAGCGGGTTGAAATGTGCTGGTGCCTTTGCACCCCTGCCTCAAGAAGGGGGTGGAAGAACAACGAAAGGTGCTGTGAGATACAGCAGGTGGATTCGTTGGGGTGTGGAGTAGTTAGTGCAGGAGGAGGGGCTGAAAAGGTGAGAGCTCTTCACCTCCAAAATGAGGCAGCCAAAGGGGAGACATATGTAAAATTCTGGATATTATGGAAAATGTGAGTAAAAGCTATTACATTCTTTTAAGGTCAGAATTTGGATTTCTCTGGATTTTGAGTGCATACAGCCTTTCTCCTTACCCAACTTGGTGCTGCTGGTGTGTTTCACAGTGGGGCTGAGAAGCTGAGGAAAGGGAGTAGATCTCCATGGCCAAGGAAACGGGATGGCACTGAAAGCAACAGCCAAAAAAAGTTGCATAATGACACAGCAGCAAAGAGAAGGCTGATGTGCTGGTTTCCATGGGTAGCAATTATGCCAGAAACTCAGCAAAAAGAGCTCAGATCCAATTTGTTTAATGGAAATTGTTACCCAGGGGTTGTTTTCCAAAGCAAAACCCCCAGCTCCTTGCCAGCCGTTGAGGACTCCCCTCCCGCAGCAATAAACACAGCAGTGACTGCAGGTCTCCTGTCACCAGCCTTAACCACAGCTTCACTCCCCACGCATCGGGGTCTGTTCCCCCCATGCCGGCGGGTGTCAAACCCTCCTGTGCCCACCCACAAATCCTCTGGGTCCACCACAGCACAGCGGGTCCCGCCTCTGCCGGCGGGTATGGCATTTGTTTCCAATATTAAGGCATCCTTTTCGCAATACCCTTTCACTTGGAGATCATTCCAGGGGGTGTCTGACGTTTTTTAAGTCGACTCCATATGGTTTTGGGGATGTCCTCACTGCCTTGTTCTTCCTGTCTCCAAACTTTGTGGTGATGCTAAATAAATGGGAAGAAACAAACAAGGGATGCTTGCTGAGAGTGTGTCTTCAATTTGAAAAGAGAATTTTCCTTCCCAGCTTTTAAAGAAGTGGCCAAAAATAGCAGCCACACTTGCTGCTGGTATTTTAATGGAGGTTTTGAGGAATCCAAGTCAGCCGGGCTAATGCTGCCTTGGCTTTACATTACCAAGGAATTTGTTTGTTTTGTAAACCAAGTTCCCTTCATTCCCTTCCCCTTCCAGACCCCAGGCACGTAACATAAACCTCCACAAATCTGAAAGGATGGACAGGGCTAAGATCATCTGGCAGATCCAGCCCTGCAGTGTGCAACCATGACAAGCTGTGCTGCTTCCCAAACCTCCTTGGGTTAAGCACTGACTTTTACTTCTCCTGGATAATCTCAGATGTCCAACCTGCCACCTCTTTCCTGCCTGGAACGGTGACAAGCCATGTATTGGCCAAGCAGTGTTGTGGGGTTTTTTGTCTCACAGCCTCCCTCAAACTACTGATATTCCACATATATTTTACATTTTTTTCATCCCAGGCAAAGTAAGTAGGATGGAGGAGGCCAGAGCAGGATTTTTAGAAATGCGTTGGTATGAAATTGCACATTGGATCTGCCTGTAAACTGAGTTTATTCTCAGCATAAATTTTCAAATGAAGTAGTCGAGTAATGCAGCTTTCAAAGCTGATCGAAATTACAGCTGAAACCTCAGAAATGGAGGTAGGAGAATGTACTCTTGTGTGTACGCCAGTTCAGGCCATGAAAAGTTCCTTGTACAACTGTGATTAATTTTAAAATTACTCCATTTGTGTCACAAGTGAAGCTGTATATTTTATTTTTACTTCTAACATGCATTGCCACTACTTAATTGCTCGGAGATGCTAGTCAGACTGTGCCTGCAGATGTTGCATTTCACCTTTTCTCTCTTTGCTACAGTGAAAAAAAACAACAAAACCAAACAAAAAAACAAACCACATGTTTGGAAATGATGTTTTAAAATGTTTGTGTCCCCTGTGTGTGGTGCAAAGGTACGTCATGATGTAACCAGACTCTTCCCTTCACAGTTCCTCTAGAAACTGGCACAACAGCAGAAATGGCTCCCATGGAGGTTGCCCGGAGCAAGGGTGATTTTGGGGCAGAAACGACGTTTCCAAGCTCACTGCCAACAATATCCCACACGGACCCAGCTGTGACGGACAAAGCGTGGGATGCTGCTGCTCCCCCCGAAGCCCCCATCATCCTCAGCCCCCCCCAGACACTGAAGCCCAACATGTACAACCTGGTCTGGCGCCCGGGGCGAGATGGGGGCTTGCCCATCAATGCCTATTTTGTCAAATACCGCAAGGTAATGTCCCCCTGGGGGTGGATCTTGTGGTCTTTGGGTTTCTTGAGGAACCGACAATTGTTGGAGCATGAACGTTAACAACAATGCGGCATCATCAGACCAGAGAGAACAGAGGATGTAGGTGAACCACAATGTGGCAGCTCGATTTAGGGGAGACTGAAGTTGTTCTCTCTAGTTTTAAGTGAGATTTACTCAGCAGAGCCCAGACTTTTATTTCCTTTATGGTATCACCTGTAGGGAATGGGGCTCCCGGGTTATTGTACACAACTTCATTGATGTTAAAAGTGCTTTTGTGTGAGCACAATGCGTATGCCAGAGATCAGAAGGGAAGCTGGGTAATGCATCAAGGATTTTGCTGTCCCAAAGAGACACCATTAGGCTGAAGTGATCAAATACAAAGGTGAACTACAATTTCTCGAGCAGATCACTAGCACGTCCATAAAAATGGTGTCTCAACCATGCACTCTCTTGATATAAATCAGAGTCAAGCAAAGCCTGTTCTTCCAAGCAAACAGTTTTCTGTGTGGCAAAGCTGTTTGGTTTATTTTTCATAAGCTTTTTAATCCTCTACATCCTGATCTTGTCTTAGCCTGGAGGGAACACTTAGATTTTTGACCTGCTAGTTCCTGAAAACCTGGTGCCAAAGTCTGTTGATACTTCTCCTCCAAAGGTGGTTGGTTCACATACTCGCTGGAGCTTTGAAGGCTTCTTTGACCTTTTTGATGCTTACCCTTTGCTCATAACAGTCCTTTGCACGTTAAATGTGCTCACTCATGCGTTTCTCAGCAGGGAGTTTACTCTGGATTTTTCAGGGTTGTGTTCTCTTTGTGTCATTAGATGATTTAATTGATTTTCTCCTTTCAAAGAGGAAAAAAATTGGGGGAATAAAAGCCTTAGAAGAGTGGTCACTTCAGGAGAAAATACTTGGAACAAAGACCTCTGGCATAACCTTTGATGATCCACAGCATTTGGATATGCCTTCCATGTTTTAGTAAAGTCTTATATTGTTTAGTAGTTTATTTTTGGTAGAATCTTTGTCTTTGCCTTTGGGATTTGGGGTAATGTTTTCCTGCAAGCATTAAGAGACTACCCTGAATCTTTTTCCTTTCTTAAATGGAGATGGTGATTTCACTGTTAAATTAAAAAGTGTTTTGGTTTTATTTAAAAAAAAAAAAAAAGAATTGTGCATTAATGAAAAATAAATCTTTGCTCTCCCTGCTGCCTTTTTTTTCAACTTTGAAAAATAATTAAAACATACTTTTCCTTGCCTGTTTTAAGGCAATATTTTAAAATGCTGAAGTACAGGAAAAGCTGGGATAATTGAGTGAACATTTATTTCTCGTTAGGGTGTGGGGTCCAGTCTTTAATGTCTTATTCTCTGCCAGCTTGAAAATCATTTGGCCTCTTGTTAGTTTTAGCCTCAAGTGAAAATGACTGTTGTTTTTTTTTCCTTAAAACAAGTGTACAGAGAAGAAAATAAGTCTAGTTTATCAAAGGAGCACTGCAAAGGTAGTTGCAAAAGCACCACTTTGCTACAGAAGCACTTGGAGACTGTAGATCTAGGACAACACAAGGAACTTTATGGGGTTGGGTGCTGATGCTGAGCTTTTTCTCCTTGCCCCATGCAGCTGGATGACAGCGTCAGCGCGCTGGGGAGCTGGCACACGGTGCGTGTCCCCGGCAGCGAGAACGAGCTGCGACTCACCGAGCTGGAGCCTTCCAGCCTCTACGAGGTTCTGATGGTGGCCAGGAGTGCTGCTGGAGAGGGCCAGCCTGCCATGCTGACCTTTCGCACCAGCAAAGGTGGGTGCAGCACAATGTTCCCTGTGTCCTTGGCTTTCAAGGGGACATTTATTCCAATTATCTCAACTAGATATTGTCTGCTAAGCTGTTTATGCAATGCTTTGCAGTTTTAATTGCTGAAGAACAGCTTCTAATGGCTAAAATAGCTGTGGGGCAAACTTGCCTGAGCATTGCCAGGGCTGTTGGTAAGTAAAAGCTGTTAAAAGCTTGATGATATTTTTGGGGTGATTATTAAAATTTATACAAGGTTCCTCTTGCTTAAAGGAGCTAATCCAGGTTTTTCAGAGAAAATGGTCCTGAAGCTGTGCCAGGGGAGTTTAAAACTGGATATTAGAAAGAATTTATTTACCGCAAGAGTGGTTGTATGCTGGAACAGGCTGCCCAGGGAGGTGGTGGAGGCACCATCCCTGAAAGTATTTAAAAGAAATTTAGATATAGTGCTTAGTGACATGATTTAAGCACTGAACGGGTAAATCAGGTTATGGTTGGTGGATTTAATTTATGGTTGGACTTGATGGTCTTCAAGGTCCCTACCAACCAGGATGATTCTATGAACTCTGCACCATCAAGTTTTCATCTATCAACGAAACTGCTTCTGGTTTGCTTTGCAGACACCTTGGTGAATATCACAGAGTCATAAAATCATAGAATGGTTTGAGTTGGAAAGGACATTAAAGACCACCTAGTCCAACACCCCTGCCATAGACAGAGATATCTCCCACTAAACCAGGTTGCTCAAAGCCCCAGCGTGGCCCTGAATGCTTCCAAGGATGGAGCTTCCACAACTTCTCTGGGCATCATGTTCCAGTGTCTTACCACCCTCAGACTAAAGAATTTCCTCCTGATCTCTAACCTAAATTTCTTCTCTTTCAGTTTAAAACCCTTGTCCTCTCACTACAAGCCCTTGTCCAAAGTCCCTCCCCAGCTTTCCTGTAGCCCCTCTTGGCCGACCACTTACCAGCTGCTTTGACAGTTGTGTGGAAGCAAGTGGCAAGCAAAAGAGCATTTCCAATCAAAGCAATTTATTTCTTTCAAGCTTTGGAGGCTGATTGCTGTACTGCTAAGCATGCAAACAATTGGATATTCTTCATACAAGAACCAGAGCTTAAAGTTTTATTAAGAATGTAACGGATTTGTGAAATCTGTTCATTTGAACAGGCCAAAAGTCTCCTCAGCCCAGTGTCCTGGGCCCAGCTGTGGCCAAGCCAAAGCTTTTGTAGCACTTTTATTGACCCTCTTTGTCTAGCCATGGATTTTGTTGTGCAGCTTTCACTGCCTGTTGTGATTTGGTGATGAGAGGGAGCTTTGGAACCCAGGCAGGAGCCAGTGGCTGTAGCAAGTTAGAGGCAGCAATGAGCATTTTCTTACAGAATCACAGAATAATTATTGAGGCTGTAAGACAGCTGAGATCTCTGGAGAGGTCTGGAAAAGACCTCTTGAGATCATCAAGTCCAGTCTATGGCCTGACACCACCACATCAGCCAGACCGTGGCACCAAGTGCCACCTGCAGCCTTTCCTTGAACACACCCAGGGATGGTGCATCCACCACTTCCCTGGGCAGTCCATCCCAATGGCTGATCACCCTCTCTGTGAGGAAGTGGTTCCTAATAAGTGCTTCCTCTTATCCCATCCCTGAGCTGATGAACTGTCTGTTGAATGTTTCCTAGAAAGAACATCATCCTCGAAGAACACTCAGGCTCCGTCTCCCCCAGTGGGCCTTCCTAAATATCCTGTCATTCATGAAGGGACAAGTAATTTTGGAGTTGTCCTTCCAGACCTGTCTCGACACAGTGGGGGTAGGTGTATGGGCTTAAAGTTGTGCTGCAAACAGATACGTCCAAGTTAACTTGTGTTCATTACTGCTCTAGGTGCTTGTGTTTCCTATTTCCTATTTATTCCCTAGACTGCTTTGATCCAGGTATTTTTCCTCTCTTGTGGGACTTCTGTGAGCGAAGTCAGATATCTGATAGATTTCCTGTTCTTCTATGTGTTTCCAGAGTAAAAGATGATAGTTCATATTTTGAGAATAAGTGAAAGGTCCTCTTATTGTGGTCAGCATGCTAGCCTTGATACCTCCCTTAGGTTTCCATGGCAGTGTTACCAGTTAATGGAGCATTTCTGTGGTGGGGTATGGAAGCTGTGAATTTAGCAAATGCATGCCCTCATTTATTGAACACAGAAGATGTCCAAGGAGGCTGTTATGTCACATGTAAATCACATTCTTGTTGCTCATATTTAAACCTGCTATTTTTTGCTAAATATTCCAGTTTTCTCTTCCACTGTGAAGGATACAGAGGAAGAGTGGGAACAGGAGGTGCTTGTGTCAGGGTTTTAGGTTCTCAAAGTGGATTATATCTGTTTTGAATGTTTTCCTGAGCCTTCCCAGGGAAAAGCTTATTCCTCGTGGCAAGAAAATTCAACTACTTCCCAATCAGTGTGCTTTTTAGCCTAGTTTCCAGTGAAGACAGCTCCTTTTAGGGTCCCTTTTCTTCTCCACCTCAGCCTTTGAACTCATTAACCTGATTCAGACAAATTTACTCAGAGACTGAGAGGAGTGATTTGGTGTCTAAATTTTGAGTAAAACCAGATGGGAGTGGTGGAGTTTATTAATGATGGAGGTGAGAGGCGTTGCACATTTTGACAGTGCTACGTATCAGAGGAGTCCTCACCATGTTGACTAACACTACCTCTTTGCCTTCTCTCTCTTCCACTGCTGCCCCTCCAAGTGATTTCAGTAAGTACATAATTCCCTTCATGCTTTATCTGTTCTTCCTTCTTGTTTCACTTGTTAGTGTGGGTGGTTCAAAGTCTCGTTGGGTGTGGGGGAATTCTGTGGGTTTGAAAATAAATATGTTTTTTCCATTAGCTTAGTATGTTATCTGTTCACATGTAGGGTTAGATTGGGGTGCAACACCGTATATTTTGGGGTGATTGTACTGATAAAATGATTGATTCCTGTTTTCTGCTCTTCAAGCTTCTTTTCCGGAAGAGCAAGTGGAGACGAGAACTTAAGATTCAACTTGTTGATACACAAAGTTTAATTTAATCACTAGTTGCATTAGTTGCTACAGAAAATGCAGCTCCAGCTGACTCTAATCCCCTTGTAACTGAATTTCTCATTTCAGTTCCAGAAGCACCCGACCGCCCCACCATCTCCACTGCGTCGGAATCATCTGTCTATGTCACCTGGATACCACGAGCAAATGGTGGCTCCCCCATTACTGCCTTTAAAGTGGAGTATAAACGTCTGGGTCGAAACAGTGACTGGCTAATTGCAGCTGACAACATTTCTCCTTCTAAGCTCTCTGTGGAAGTTCGTAACTTGGAGCCAGGTATTAGAAATGGGTGTTCCTTCGCCTCTGCTGTTCTTCTGTTGCCTTTGTTGAGAAGACTTCACTCCTGCTGGGACAACACTGTCCCCGTTTGGTTGTTTCATTTTAACATCTTGTCAGATTATCCTGTTTCTGGGTTGTTCTTTTTTTTTTTTGTTTGGTTTAGTTCTTTAGTTGTCTTTTTTTGTGAGGGGGATAGGAGTTTGTTACATGAACTCAAGTTGATCTTTTGGGTTGATGAACTCTTTTTTTTTTAACTTTTGTGGAAAAAAATCCTCACCATAATTTAATACTTGTTCACATGGAGAGGAAGGATGTGCATTATTGCTGGTTTTATCTTAATTGTCCTCAAAAGAATGCAAAAAAGGGAAAAATGCATTAATGGAAAATCCATGTCCTGATCTCTCCCATCATCCAGCTCTGAAAGCTTGGGAAAAGAGTCTGAAGAGCGGGGGGAATAGATAGTGACAGGTGTCCTTGGAGGCACCTTCTGGGTGCCCACCAGAGTGCAGCTGAGTGACCTTCTGAGCTGATGGAGGCATCTCCATCTCTGTGTTGAATTTTTCTGGAGTGAATTTCCCCTCATGACCTGGAGAAGCTGTTGATATTCCTGATGTCCACACTAGCCCATGGCAACAAGTCCAGTGTCTAATCGGCTGTTTTGCAAAAAGTGCTTCCTAATCTGTTTAGCCTCTCCTTGGATCCCATTCTAGCTTGTGTTTCGCTACAACGCCGTTTTCCTTTCATTTTTTCCCTTAAAAGGAGAAATGTACAGGTTCCGTGTGATTGCTGTGAACAACTACGGGGAGAGCCCACGCAGCGCTGCCTCCCGCCCCTACCAAGTGGCCGGATTTACCGGCAGGTTTTCCAGCCGCCCCATCGCAGGACCCCACATCGCGTACACCGAAGCCATCAGCGACACGCAGATCATGTTGAAATGGACAGTAGGTGGAATTGTCTCCTGCTCTACTCATGTTTGCGGGCCAGTTTTTTACTGTTTTAGCATGTAAAAGTCGAGGATGAAGAGCTGCTTGCAGAGCAGTGAGTGGTTTTTCCCACCCCCCTGAGACTGTTTTTCCTAGAAGAGGGCTGAGATCCTTCATGCTCATATAGTAATTTAACAGGCTGTATGCCTCTTGGGCCCTTTGCTCACCACATCCAAATCCTTTTTCCTTCTCCAAGACAGCCCGTTGGGTTTTGGCCCCCTTTTACTCTGTCCCCCAGCTTCCCACCTTGCTTCCAACTTCCAGATGCCACTCTCTGCTCCTTGGGTTACACCAGATGTAAGCCCAACTGGCAGATCCAGGGAAAGACTGTGGCCTCCTTAGTCCACCTGCTCTGGCACAGGCAGAGCCAGAGGCACCAGTGGGCTTAACTCTGTCCAAACCCTTCTTTGTGCCGCGAGTTGTGAGCGACTTGGCTTCACTTCCTGCAATTCCTCCTGCTTTTGTCAATCCAGACTGCTTTTAAAACCCGTCATCCCCCCTCACTTGCGGTGGAGGTTTCATGTTAGAGAAACGTTTTCCTTTCCCCCGTTACCTCGTCTTTTGTAAACAGGTACTTTAAAGTCCTTATTGAAAGCCACAGAAATTCTTTGCTCTTGTTTTGAAATCTAACCCCCTGGTATACTTTGGAGGATTTAAGGGGTAGAGTTCCCAGTGTTAGTTTGCTCTGCTAGCTCAGCCTTAAGAGATGTTAAGGATAATAAACTTAAAATAACCTCTTGTTCCTCAGGGGGCTGCATAACTTAAAGAAAAATATTCTCGAGCTGAATCTTAGAGTGACCTTAACTTTTTCTGAAGTAGAAGTGGCCTTAACTTTTCCATTTCCATTAATCACACAAATTTTCGGGCCATTCATGGTCAAACCCTAATTTTGACAGTTTGGAAAAGGATGTGGGAGTAAAGTGTCAGCCCCAGCTCAGGCCCTGTGCTACCCCCTTTTTTTTGGACTGGGGTGATGATCCTTAGGTCCTTCCAATTCTATGACTGAGGTGGCAGAGAGCTCTCCTGCAGCCCTGTCAGATGTCCTGTGGTTGTGTGTCCGCACATGTACAGCAACCAGTAATCCTGTTTTGTGCTGGGGGTTCTGTGCAAAGCCCCCCCACACCTTGTTTGTGCATCCTTATTAAAAAACTATATTTCAAGGTGATGAGATACTCAAGTGACGATAGGACTACCTGACCTTTAAAGGTACCATTGCAACCTGAACCGTTCTAAGATGACTCAGCAGGACTCCATTTACATTTTTTCTTCTCTGACCCAGTCTTTTCAAATTCTCTTTTAGTACATTACATCAAGCAACAACAACACACCCATCCAAGGATTTTATATCTATTACCGGCCCACGGACAGCGACAATGACAGTGACTACAAGAGGGATATTGTGGAAGGTAGGGAGCAGTGTCCACATGCCTGGTCATGCTGCTAGCTGGGGAGGAGAGCAGCGTAGCCACACTGGCTGTGTTTACATCAACTATAAACTGCTTTGCCCAAACCAAGTCTTGACAATATATTTCGCAGAGGTAGCTATCTCGACTCCCTAACATCAAGCTCTACTCACACATGAACTTCTTTCTTCCTTGTGAAGCCTCTTCGGCTTGGAAACTTGAGAACTAAATGCTGGGGTTATGTTTGCTTGGTGGTGCTGCTGCAAATCCATGGTGTAAATGCAGTTAAACTGATTTAGCTTAAAGGAGCTGAGGAAATAGAAAGTGGCATAAATGAGATTTAACCCCGGGTAAGCACGTCTCATTACAGACTGTGCTAATAACAAGCTGGCTTTGAAGGTGATTTACCCTAGCATGGATTTTTTAAGCTAGGCAGCACCTTGTGTATAATTGCCCTCCTCTCCTTTTTCCTTGCTCAATTGCTAATCCTGCTACAAGGAAGTTACTTTTAGCCTCCAGTGCTGTAGTACACTGCAAATGCAGGTATGTTTGTGCTTCATTTTGCCTTTTAATCAGGTTACTGTTTTTTTCCCTGTGCATATTAGATCATCATTTTCCTGGAAGAAGTTATTAGATAATGTCTATATTAGTCCAGAAGTGGAAAACCCTTTAAAAAATATTTTACTTATTGCTTGGGCTGAGCAAATGCAGTGATCTCATTCTGTCCCGGTGACATTAATTATTTTTTCCCCTCATTTATTTCAGTTACAAGAGGAATGGGCCTTTATTTTGAAAATTTTCCCCTGCTAGACAATACTCTGCATAGTCCTTTGATGTGTGACATCAGCTTTTGCACACTCTAGAGCTATTAAAGATCCAGAGTTTCGGCTTTCAAGGCGCTTATGCAGCCTGCACCTTCATCTGCAAATGTATTTTAGCCTTTGCTAGGCAGGACTGGTGTGTTTATAAATCTTATACACTAAGCAGTTAGTTGTTTAAGTGGGCTCCACTGTGCTGTGAAATTAGCTTGTTTCTGACTTTTTTTTTTTTTTTCCATGGGCCTGTGTGTATTGAACTCTTTGTGGCAGTCTGAAACCATTAGCAGCTGCTCAGCTCTTGCCAGAGCCTGGAACAGAAACTCATTTGGTGGAAATATTTAAACTTCAACCTTTTTTTTCAACGTTTCTGTACTGTGCTCCCTCAATTAGCTTTTTGGGGAGGGAGAAAAAAAAAGACGACAGTTACTTTCAATTAAAATAGCATTTGATGTGAAATATGTAGAGAAACATATGACTTAAGGTATTTTCGCCATAAATCAGTTATTCTACCCCCCAGCCCCGTTACCTTGGAATTAATCTGTCTGTTTTTTGACAGGGAATTTTATCTTGAAATGACTGCATGGGTTGTGGAAAAAGTGTTGTAGTGCCTGTATTAGCTAAGTACTTGCCGTAGGCTTTCCTTCCCATTCCCTGTTAAGTCTTGTCTTTCGAGACATTCAGAACTGGGCAGAAAACTTGACAAACGCTGCTACAGGCAAAATCAGATTTTATTTCAAGACAAGCAATAAGTCGTGAGCTTGAGTCGAATGGCTTCTCGCTGTTGTTCAGCAAAAGCAAAAACCAATTCAGCCCTGTTCTGCATCCGCGGTCTGAATCTGTCCCTTTTGAGGGTCCTGCAGATTGAATTTTAAATGGAAATGCAGACTGATGTCAGTTGTTTAAATGTTTTTCCTTGCTAATGGTGCACGAAGAGGACAGTTAAAGTGCCTGTACTGACTCCAGTTCCACTAAGGGTTTGAAGCGGAAACCTAAAACCTGGTGTAGTAATTACTGAAAGGAATGCTTGGGGGTGGGGGCAACGGGAAAACTGAGGAGGAATCTTGGGAAAAAAACGTGCAATTTAGGGAAAGGCCAGTCTCAGCTTTAGCCAGGGCTCGTCTGCTCTCACTTGGGATGGAGCTCGGATGGTGATTCCTCTTCCAAAGCCCCTGAACGGAGCTGGAGTCCTCCTGCCCTTTTCTGGGGGATATCCACACCTGGGCTTGTATCCCAGGGAAGTTCCAACAGGCTCCTGGGGACAGTCCCCGCCAGCTGAGCAGGCTTGATATTTATTTTTTATTAATGCTTAAATCAGTAGGTGGTATGACAGCTTCTTAGAAACAGTTCAAGGTGGTATTTTCCAAGAGGTATTAAGAGTGCTCAAACAGTTAATTAAACTCCCTAAAAAAAAAAAAAAAAAATAAAAGAGAAAAAAAAAAAGGAGGGGAAAAAAAAAAGGGTCGCTGTTTATTAAAATTTGTCACAAGCCCGTGAAAGTAAAAACTGAGAGTGATTTATATTGAAGTGCTCAGTACTTCAGGAGGGTGTCTAAATGAAATGCTGGCCAGGAGCCAGAGATGACAAAACCCTCCTATTAGAGAAGATTGCTTGGCCCGGGCCCCATCTCTGCAGGGGCAGGCAGCAGAGGCAGCCTCGCGCACTCCATTCGTTTCCTACTCTGCTTAATAAAATGCACGTTCAATTATTGGCAGTTTCGGCTGAGTTGAACAACCCAGATGGATCCTTCCATCTGCTAACATAACCCATCCTAAGCCTGTCACTTTGCTGTGTGCGTCTAGGAAAGGAAAGATTTTCCTGTAAAAAAACAGTTTGTGAAATGCCATTGAACATTTTGGTTTAGAAGAGAGGAACTTAATTAAGATGCACAGAAGTGCTGCTGACTTCAAATGTCCAGACTTGGTAGAAATCTGGATGTCTGATCTTTTAAGTTTAGCAACTTCTGTTTTTTGTAGAGAAAGAAATTTAAAAAAAACCTCTACAGTTGAAAATACTGAAAGGAACCCCCAAATTTTATTCATCAAAATGTTCCTCTAAGCTATTTCACAAGACAGGTCTTCTGCTTTCAGATGAGTCCATAAATGGTTAATAAAAGACTTTTGTGCTACCAGGAAAGGCTGTGATACCCCTGTGTTTTATAGAGGAAGACACTGCAATGTCCTCGTACCTAATTCTGCCTCCTGCCAGTTAATGAAACGCAGTTGATATATTTTTTTTCTCCCCAGGAACGAAGCAATGGCACTTGATAAATCACCTGCAGCCAGAAACCTCCTATGACATTAAAATGCAGTGCTACAACGAGGGTGGGGAGAGTGAGTACAGCAACGTGATGATCTGCGAAACCAAAGGTGAGCGTCGGCGGGGGCCGTGTTGTGGCACACAACACCACCTCACATGTGGGGGTTTTTGCAGCCCCAAAGTCAGCTGGGCTGAAGGTCGTCATTTTCTGGAATGTTTTGGAGGATTCTTTTGTATCCCAAAGCTGGGCTTATTTTAAGCATATGGAAAGCAATAAGTTGCACTCCCGAGAAAGGCTCTTAGCAAAGCTCTGCAGATTTGCCTGGCCCAGGAGATAGGGTTGTTGTTCTGGGTTGTTTTTTGTTTCTTTTGCTGTGCTGATAGCCTCTCCTCAGGAGACAACGGCGCTCTTAGAGATGACAGAATTGATTTGTACGTCTGTTTTCTGTCTTCAGGGCTCTGTGACACGTTGTATAAGTGCAGACCGCAGCAATTGATGGTTATGTTGGCTGCCTCCATCACTAATCCTGCGTGCCTCTGGCACAAAGTTTGTACTGTTCTCTGGAAGTGTCAGATATGGCAGTCACATTTATTTTGCAGAGAATTCCTGTCTCCTTTAATCTCTAAAACCAAGTAAGGCTGTAAAGGGAAAATGCAGACAGTAAACTTCAAGTGCAGGTCTATGAAAAAATGTTTTCAAAAAAGAAAAAAGCCCTTGAGGAGCGGAAGCATCAAAATGGAGCTACGTGAGGAGCGAAGCCTTGGAAAGAAGGGCTGGGAGCTGCAGGGCTGCCTGCAGGGCTGGCCTTCCTCCCATCAGGAAAATCACTTTTTTCCCTAATTTTAGAATTGGCAAGATGTCATCTGTTGCTCATGCTGACTCTTCCTTAAAATGTATCTCCTCCAGGGTCCCAGGGGTAATCCAGTTTCTCTAACCTATCTGCACAGAGGTGCTTGTGTCTCTGACCAGCTCCACTTCTTAGCCAGGCACCTCTTTTATGTTTTTAATGTCAAATGAAATTAATTTGTGCTGAAAACTAATGTAAATTTAATTCCTGGGTTAAATTATCATCTTGTTTTCAGTGCTCGTATGCTCAGCTCTCAGTGTCTTAAATAGGATGGTTTTGAGAAGGAGGTTGGCAAGGTTCACCTCAGATAAAAGTAGGTCACCTGGCAGCAGTTCGGTGATGGAAATGCACGTTGTGGTTTTTCCTGACCTCAGAAGTGGAAAGATTTGTGTTCTTTCAAGTTGGGAGTGAGCGCAGTTCTAGCCATGTGTGTGTCAAGTTGCTCATTAAAGTCTCAAGTGACCTCAACGCAAGGGTTAGCGAGTTGAATAATAACCATTTTCCAAGGCAAATAGTTACTACCCAATAGCAGTTGGCCTTCTCGTTACATGTTTTAATTTTGACTTGCAGGCTTTCTCTTTGAGCCAATAGGATTCTAACTCTGCAATCATTATTTTCACTTCATAATCGTAGAGTCATCATCGAGGTGGGGAAAAAACCTTCAAGATGATCCAAGTCCAACTGTCTTGTCCTACAACCCCCAACCACTAAACCATCTCCTGAAACACCACGTCTACCCTTTTTTTGAACACCTCCAGGGGTGGTGCCTCCACCACCTCCCTGGACAGCCTGGTCCTAGGCCTCACCACTCTTTGTGAAGAAACTTTTCCTAATATCCAGCCTGAACCTCCCATGGTGCAGCTTGACCCCATTTCCTCTTGTCCCATCACTGGTCACTAGGGAGAAGAGCCCAACACCTACCTCACCAGAGCCTCCTCTCAGGTAGTTGTAGAGGGTAATGAGGTCTCCCCTCAGCCTCCTCTTCTCCAGGCTGAACAGCCCCAGCCCCCTCAGCCTCTCCTCATAACACCTTTTCTCCAGACCTTTTCTCATCTCATTAGTTGCCCTTCTCTGCACCCTCTTCAGCACCTGTGTCTTTCTTATACTGCAGTGCCCAAACCTGCACCCAGTGCTCAAGATGCAGCTTCTCCAAGGCTGAGCAGAGGGGCAGGATCACCTCCTGGTCCTGCTGGTCACACTATTCCTGATACAGGCCAGTTGTACCACCTGGGCACACCGCTGGCTCATGTTCAGCCCCCTGTCAGCCAACACCCCCAGGTCCCTCTCTGCAATGCATCCAGCCAATATCCCCATACTTGTTTCTTCCTTCATCCAGTGAAACGCACACCAGGAGCATCCGAATATCCAGTGAAAGACCTGAGCACGCCCCCAAGTGCCCCCGAGCGGGTTGGAGGAGGAGGATCTGGGCCATCCAATGGCCCCGTTCGGAGCAGTGACATGTTGTACCTGATTGTGGGCTGCGTCCTGGGGGTGATGGTCCTTATCCTCATCGTCTTCATTGCCATGTGCCTGTGGAAGAACCGGCAGCAAAACACCATGCAGAGTGAGTTACTTCTGGATTCCTTTGCAGAATTACACAATGTAGGGGGTGGGAAGGGACTTCTGGAGATCATCCAGTCCAACCCCCCCTGTCAGAGCAGGTTCACCTAGAGCAGGTTATACAGGACAGCATCCAGGCAGGTTTGGAATGTCTCCAGAGATGGAGCCTCCACAGCCTCTCTGAACAGCCTGTTCCAGGACTTGTCACCCTCACAGTAAATGATTTGTTCCAGTTGTTTAGGTTTAACCTCTTGTGTTCCAGTTTGGGCCCTTTTCCACCCTTGTCACAGGACACCATTGAAGAGAGTCTGATCCCATCCTCCTGACACCCACCTTGAGATTGTTTATAAGCATTAATGTGACCCTCCCTCAGTTTCCTGCAGGCTGAACAGACCCATGACGGAAATATTATCAGTGTCAAATTAGTAACATTTTATGGCTGGGAAACGTTTCCTGTGATGAGACAACTGGTGTTTAGAGACGTGTACTTTTTAGATGCCTGAGGTGAAGAGCTGGGGTGCTTTTTTGTAAGACTGGTTGATGCTGGCTATGCTGCTGTGTGGTTGTGCTGCCATTTACCCTGGTGTCCAAGCTTTTTAGAGAAGTGTTGGTGAGGAAAGCCCATCCATTCACAGGCAGGAGCCTGGAGTAGGTGCACTGGAGCTCACCCACTGATTCTCTGCTAGTCTTTTCACTAGCTTTTTCTGCTGGTAATGCATTTATCAGCCTTGCTCTTTTCACAGCCTGTGGTTATTTTTAAATGTCCTTACTCTCTGAAAAAGAAATATGAAACAAAACTTCTTGGAAGGTTAGATAGTGTCTTCCACTGTGGCCCAGAGGAATATTCTGGAGGTTGTTGGCAGCAGATGGCAGAGGGTCTATTGATTGTACAAATAGCCTGTTTTTAGGATGTTTGTACTAGTGACTGAAGTCAGCTGAGCCCTGTCAGACTAATGTTCCTGGTCTGTTCCTCAGGGCATGGCTGTTTTCCATTTCTGTGTTTGTATACCAAGCACTTGAATATTACAGTTAATTTACGAAAGCTGTAGAAAGAGCAAATAAGTTTTTGTTTCTTAGAGATGCTCGTTTAACTTCTCCTTTGGCAATAAATATGCTTTGACTAACAATGTCTCTTGCAGAATACGACCCTCCTGGCTATCTGTACCAAGGGGCAGACCTCAATGGGCAGATGATTGAGTACACAACCTTACCTGGCACAAGCCGAGTCAACGGCAGCATCCACGGGAGCTTCATAGGCAATGGCAGCCTGGGCAATAGCTGCCCTCATGGAGTCAATGTCCCAAATGGAGTCAATGGGATGATGAACGGGGGAGCTGGAATGTACCCTGGGCATACCAGCTCCCTGGCCAGGACACACGTGGACTATGAACATTCCCACCATCTTGTCAATGTAAGCTCTCACTCTGCAGTGGTGGAAGGCTCAGCCTTAGACCTGGGATTGATTCAGAGGTTGGAAAAGCATAGTTAATTTGGGTGGGGGAAATACTCATCCATTGATAACAGCCAGTTCCACTAAATTACTTATCCCAGAGGAAGCAACTGGGCTGATATTTCTGATACAAACATCATGGTTTTCATTTGAGGATATCAGATGACAGCAAGAATTCCACTTACTCTGGGAAATCTGCCTCTACCCTCCTCCTAACAGTGTGTAAGCTCCGAGAATGCTTCAGTACTGGGCTGAGAGACTTTACTTGTGCATATGGTATTTCTCAATCTTCAAGTTAAATAGATTTAATTATAGCTGCTTATTCTGCAGCTTTATGGATCACCCATTTTTTCCCCCACCTGTTTCAGATCTGTAACTCTGAGCAACGCTATTAATTATGGCAAGGCACGAATGTAGCAGGAGGTTCCATAAAATAAAATGCCCCATACATCTTGAAATGCAGCAACGTAATAGGGCTGTCTCTTTTTTTCCCAGTTCCCTAGTTTGTAACTGTTGAGACAAGCTCATTTTTTTGTTTTGACATTGAAAATAAAATTAAAAACTAATTTGAGTCTGCGATCCAGCCTTTGTACACTGTGGAAAAATCATTCATTTGCTGCAGTGTGTCCCGTTTCCAAGAGAGAATAATGATTTCATTATTGTCTATGGAAACAGATGGCTTGCATTCAAACTTACTAAACTTACTCAAAACTGTGAACATTGCCCAGGAAGACTGAAAGAAAAAGTTCAAAAGTCTGAATAACCCATGCTGTTTCTGGAGGAAAAAAATGGGGCTATTGTTTGTGTTAGTAATTGAACACAAGCACTTCATTTTATTGAACAACAAATTAGCGCTTGCACAGTAGTTGCCACTTGAGTTAAACTCCAGCTTTGAGTCCAGACCAGTTGGTTCTTCACCTGCTTCTCTCTTTGCTCTGCTCGTGGAACAGCAAGTGCTGCTTTGTGGTCACTTTCAAAAGCCACCAAGACCCAAACAGTGGTTTTGTTTTTGGACCTGTCCAACTTCCCAGTGAGTGAAACTCTCCAAAAGTCTCCAACTGTACAAGCCCACAGGAAGGGAAAAGCTCACCCATGAGAAAGCTTGGAACTCTGCCTTGATGGTTTGTCCCTCCAATTTATATTTTTTTGGAAGGAAGGAAATATGCCTGTGGTAACACAGGTCTGGGTGCTTGGAGCTCCTCTGTGCCACAGGATGGGACACGCAGTGCCGAATAGTTGACGTGGTTGAGTTTATTTCTTTTCCCCCTGCCATGGTGTAGAAAGTTTGAGTCATGCAACTTCTTACCTAGAAGGACCCAAACTGGCACACGGGTGAGGCAGCCGAGGAGGACAGGGTGTTCTCATCCTCCTTAGATCTCTCTTTATTGTTTCATTGATTGGACTAAATGAGGAAGAGAGAAACCAGCCAGGATAGCAATCAAGACTAATTAGCCATTTCCTCAGTGATCCCTGTTGGGTTGAGCGGCCTCAAAAAATGGAAGGATAAGCCCTACTTCTTGCAGAAATAAGGGTTGCTAGAAGTTCCCTACCACTTGAAATGCCAAGTGAGCCTCCCCAGACCTCTTCCCCTCCTGCACGGCGGCGCGGTAGCCGGGCTCCATGGCCCCTTTGCCAGCGGCTCCCGCGGTGGCGCCCGCCGGGTCTGGAACCATGAGGTATGGGTTAATATGGGCATTTTGACTCACTTGTAATGGCCCCCGTGGCCAAAACCAACAACACAAAATCCCTCGCACCCCAAGTCGTTGCTGGCGAAGGAATTACCCCATCTGTACAAATACCAAATGCTTCAAAAATCAGTCTGGCGCAGTAAACTGATCTAATCAGAGTAATTACAGGAAAGTGGGATGGGTTTGTGTTGTGACATCAGCCCTGCAGATTTAATTCTCCGTCTCCCCAAGTGGGCACCGTTTGCTAACGAACAGCAATTTGCTTTCATGTCTGTCATCAGTGTTAAAAATAAACATATTTACAGTGTGTTTATTAAATTAAACCTTAGCATATGAAGCTGAAAACAGACCAGGGAAATTACCACATACTTGTCTAAGCTGCAGTTATTTACTTTTCCCTGACACATGCTGGCAAAAACCCTCCACTAAACTTCATATAATAGCTCAGTGTTGTTGTGCCACATTATGGGGCATGGGTCTGGAGATTGATAAGGTGGAAACAAAGTGAAAAGGTTGGAGCTGAATGACCTTCTCTCGTGTGTTGGGAGTAGCAATTGATTTTTATTCCTGTTCTTTTGCCTCCTTCCTGCTGCAGGGCAGTGGGCTGTACACAGCAGTGCCACAGGCTGACCCCTCCGAGTGCATCAGCTGCCGGAATTGTCGGAACAATAACAGGTGATGTAAAATGTGATTTAAGTAATTTATTAAAACCCCCAGAGCTCATTTTACTCCACACATTCCTCTGATGCTCTCTAGGAAAGGAAGCAGGTCGGGCACTGGCAATGTTGGGTTTTTTTTTTTTTTTAAACGTTAGTTCCTGTGTTTTCTTCAGTTTTGAGATAACAAAACCACTCCAGATGGAGTTTGTCAAATAGGATTTAATTGCTCTTCGATATTTTACATTTCCTGCCATGCTCCACCAACAAATTAGAGTCACAGCTTTGCTGTCACAATGCTGTTCGTTGTAAAACACAGAGGGTGAGGTTCCTCAAGTCCCCAGGAGCAGGTTGGCTGGCCTTTGTCAGGGTGGGGTACTTCTTTTTTTTTTTTGCATGAGAAAAAGGATTCTTGTCTAGAATAAGGGAAAAGTTTATCTTCTGTGTTGTAGCCAGAGTCTGGATTTTTATGATGCTTTCACTTTTGAAAGTTTTAAAGAATACACTTTCAGGCTTCTGACTAAGTCTCTAGTTATTTTAATGACTAAAAACAGGGCTGGAAGTCAGATGTGCTGGGTTGCTCTGACTGCTAAGTCCTGGGTTTTTTCAGTCATACTTTGAATTTTCTGTCTTACTCAAATTGTCAGCTGCCTTTAGGTGTATATCTGGAGAAGCTGAGCTGGAATTACTGTTGTTGAAGGCAGAACACCAGTTTGCTCTGGTTTCATGGTTTTACTTTTCAAAATCCAGTTTAGAATAGGCTTTAAATCCTTCTTTCTGTAAATATGCACGTGGTGATGTGATGGGCTGCTGCTGGCAGGTGGAGCTGGGCATGCTTTGACCAGACCAGTGTCATGGCTTGTCTCTGGGGAACGTGGGCTGCAATGGCCTGTTTTCAAGGCAGGCTCTGGAACAGCAGTCATCAAGATGTGTGCTACCTGCCATAATTTGGAACACACTGTGTGTGTCACACTGTAATTAAAAGCTTGCTCTCCTGTTTTAAGCATATTTAATTCTTTATTGTGCTTTTTTTTCTGAAGAAAGCAGGGAGGATGGGTTCCATCCTCTGCAACTGTGCTTTTCTCCCATATGGCTCATCAGCAGGGTTTGAACTTTGAATTTTCACATCCCTATTCTATATTTGACTGGTTGATAAAGAAACAAGTTGTCCTTTGCAGCTGCCTTTATCCCAGAGGGGACCATTAACCTCCATTTGGCAGCCATTAAGCTCCAAGCTCTGCTCCTGTCTCTTCCTGGTGCTGAGGGAATGGAAGTAGGACATGGAAAAGGGGAATGGGGAGGACCAGGAACATGCTGGAGAATCACACCAGGGGTCAGGGAGCTGGAGGTGAGGAGGAGAAAGACCTGGTGGGTTAGTGCGGTCAAGTCAGTAGGTTTTGGCAAGTGGGGATTTGGGGCTGGAGTCTTTTTCATAAAATCACAGAGTCATTTTTGTTGAAAAACACCTTTAAGATCATCCAGTCCAACTATTAACTCAGCTCTGCTGAGTCCAGTGTAACCATGTCCCTCAGCACCACATCAACAAGGCTTTTACACACCTCGGGGAATGGTGACTCTACCACTGCCCTGGGCAGCCCATTCCAGGGCCTGACAACCTTTTTAGTGAAGGATTTTCTTCTAAAATCCAAACTAAGCCTCCTCTGGTGCAACTTGAGGCCATTTCCTCTAGTCCTGTCACTTCTTCCCTGGGAGAAGAGAATAACACCCCCCCCCCTCTCTCCAACCTCCCCTCAGGCAGTTGCAGAGCCAGGAGGTCTTCTCTCAGCCTCCTTTGTTCCAGTCTGGACACCCCCAGCTCCCTCAGCTATTCCTCATAAGACTTGTGCTCCAGACCCTTCCCCAACTCAGTTTCCCTTCTCTGGACACTCTCCAGCCTCTCAATGTCCTTCTTGTGAGGGGCCCAGAACTGACCCCAGTGTTCAAGGTGCAGGCTCCCCAGTACAGGGGGACAATCCTGCTGGTCCTGCTGGCCACACCAGTGCTGGCACAGGCTACGATGATCTTGGCCTTCTTGGCCACTTGGGCACATGCTGGTTCATATCCAGCTAGCTGTCAAACAGCACCCCCAGTTCCTTTTCCACTGGGCAGCATTCCAGCCATTCCTCCTCAAGCCTAGAGCGCTGCCTGGGGTTGTTGTGACCCAAGCGGAGTACCTGACACTTGGCCCTCTTGAACCTCATGCAATGCGTCTCAGCCCATCAATCCAGCTTTTTTCCCCTTGTCCAACCTCATAGCAGGTTTGGGCTGGCCCCCCTGTCTGTTTCTGCAGAGGGGACTTCTGCTGCATCCCACTCTCAAATTATTTCACCTTGTGTACTGAAACCAGGCAGTTCCCTCTGCAGAACACCCACAGGATGGCAGAGGAAGGTGGGTTTGGGTGGAAATTGCTCTAGTGGGTGACAGTCTCCAACTCTTGAGTATTTCAGGTGCAGGTGTCCTGGCTCTTCTGAGCAAGTGTTTCCACCAAATGTCTGGCGCTGTTGCTGCTGTGGGTTGATTTCAGCAGCTGCTTGAATTGTGACCACGTGCAAATGAATCCTAAAGGTCTGGCTACCACGGCTGCTTTCAGCAACAGCCATCTTGGAGCAGGCTGTGGTGAAATCCCTCTGTCTTTTGTTGAAATTAGCACTTTATGCTCTCGTGGAGACTTGCCAGGGGTAGAAGTTGCTGAAAGGTGGATACCCACTTTGCTATTGTGGACGGGGCTGGTAAGACGAATGTGGTTTATGCTTGTCCCATTAGAATTCAGACCTGACTTTTCCCCCCATTTTCTGGTGCTTTTCCACTAAAACCTTCTTAGATACCTGATGGTTGCAAAGGAATTGGCATTTTTGCATATCCGTTAGTTGCAGATTTGCTTGTATTCTGATCAGAAATCTGGAATACACTTTTCAAATAAAGGACTATAGGTCTGGTTTTCCAGCTTTTTAAACTGTGCTGATGTGGATTCTAATCAGATTATAGTTTGGAAGGATTTTAGCACTGAAAATTGATAGAAAACATGTTTTCTGCAGCAGGGATTTTACATCTCTATTCACACACACTTTGCTCTGGATATTCCCATGGCTAGTTTCCATCAAAATGTGGTTATTTAAGCTTAAAAAGCTGAACTGCTGCTTTGAAACATCATTCAAGCCTCTACAGTAACACGAAAAACTACTCCAACCTCTGTATCTTTAAAAAGAAAGCCCCATAAACATGCAAACCCAAACATTTAAAATTAATTCCTCTAAGAATATACTTTTAAAAAAAAATAATAAGTGAGTGCAGTCAAAACCTCTGCGGAAAGAAATGCAAACTAATAAATGGATTTGTTTGAAGCCCAAATGTGTTTCATGTGGATTCTTCAGTGGCTTCTGTGGTATTTTGGTACTTGGAATAATGATTTTGGAGGCAGTTCTGGGAGTGGAAGGACAAAATAGGAGAGGGAAGGTTGGTGCTGCTCCGTCCTCACTGCATTCTGGAGCGGAGTGGGTGATACCACAGCTGCTGGAGGGATCCCCCCTTGCCCTGTGTCTTGGCTTTGTGAGTGAAACATCTGCTGGAGGGAAAAGCTGCTCCAGTTCCTTCTCTAGAAAGTTGATTTGTGGCGATTTTGTTGTTCTTTCAGTTCTGCCAATCTTGATGGGGGTTTTCAGGTGAAAATATAAACAGTGGCTCCAAGCATCCAGTAATAACCAGCCACCCCAGCAGTACACATGAGGCTTCTCACCCTGAGCAGAAGGGTTGAATATATTTAAGTTTGGCAGCCAAACAAAAGTAATGCCCTGTGTTGTGTGTGTTATCAGTGTATAAAACACTTGAACCCTGTTTAGCCTCGGTGGGAGCATTTCAGAGCATCACTGGCTCAAGGGTGGATCTCAGCTTCTCCATTCTTATTTCAGTGCTTTTTATTTTCTCTGCGGATCTCTTGCTGTTCCGAAGCATTTTGAGGAGTGGTTTTCCAAAGTTTATGGCAGCTATACAAGAAAACCTTTTACTTTTGTGGTAATTATGGTTTTGTATAAAACCACACTAAAGTGGAATATATATATATTTTGAGGGGGGTTTAGGGAGAGCATTCTTACGTAGGAATTACTGACAGAATTGTTCAGTGAGGCCACGTTGCTCCTGGGGCTCCAGACACCATAGGCATTCTCCCTATGTGCTGCTGTGCTGTGCACCTCTCAAAATCCAGCTCCTTTTTCTTATAGGGTTAAATATCTGGGCTGTAACAATTGATTTTTCCATTTACATATGCCTCATGATTAGAGGGCAACAGTCCAAGTTACACAGCAGAAGGGGGTTTTTATTCATACCATTGCATATATTTTTCTAATTTGCATTCACTCCGATAACGCTTAGTATTTGTTTTCCAAGGTATTTCAGTCTGCTGTTTGAGTTCCAAACTTGAGCTCTTTTTCTTGGCAGTGAAAACCTGTTTTATGGGGCTGCCTTGATGGAGAAATGGACTCACAAGTCGGGTCATTGGGTCACAATCGATGGGGGAAGGAACCGAGTGCATGTTTTCAGTGTTTCTGGCTGACTGTTGGGATTGAAAAATGCTCAATATTTTATTTAATGTCCACATAGAAATTTGACTGTTGTGGATGACACGCAGTAAAGACTTAAAAAGTGGCATTTTCTCAAGATTAAGTGGTGGGGAGAAGCAGTTCAAAGTAACCCTGCTCTGCCTTGGGTCCCCTATGCAGGTGTTTCACCAAAACCAGCAGCACTTTCAGCAGTACCACACTGCCTGTCATGCCCCTCGTTGCACCTTATCAGCAGGAGGGCTTGGAGATGAAACCTCTCAATCATCATGTCATGATGGCCATGTGCTTGGCCTCCAGTGTCCCAGAATGCAGCACCCAGATGGAGGAGGACAACAAGGAGAAAGTGGATCAGCCCTCTGCCCCTCATTCCAGCTGTCGGGAAGGCATCAACCAGCTCTCTGTGGGCTGCAGTGATGGTAAGGCATTCCAGAGAGGATACCACCCAGCTTTGAAGCTGGGAATACCCTGCAGGGAGCTTAATTTACAGCAGAGAAGCTGGTAATTAAGTCCACAAAAGACCTGGCTTTTTGAGAAAGGTGAAGCTTTCCACCTTTCCCTAGTGGACGTGTGGAGCAGCAATGCTCCAGTGCCCGTGGCTGCCGTGCCCTTGTGTCTGATGCCTCCAAGTGTAGCTCATCGAATAGCTGTGCTCCAGATAACAAGGACTTGCCTGATTTATTGCCTTGCACCTGCAGCGTGGTCTCCTGACACCACCAGAGTGCTCCCTAATGGAGTTTTCCCTAATGAGAAAGGTATCTGTGACGGCCCAGAGCCATCCCATAGGCAAGAGCAGGAACAGGAATGTCAGTGGGAGCTGGGCTGACCTAGGCACCATGACCTCACCACTGCTGGTGATGCCTTTGATGGTCTCTGATAGAGCTGGTCTTCTGAGTGGGAACGAGCCTGAGCTTGAAGGGCATCATGCACTTTTTATTAGACCCTGGCCCAGGTTGCTCAGGGAAGGTGTGGCTGCCCCATCCCTGGCAGTGTTGAAGGGCAGGTTGGATGGGGCTTGGAGCAACCTGGGCTGGTGGGAGGTGTCTCTGCCCATGCAGGGGGGTTGGAACTGAATGATCTTTAAGGTCCTTTCCAACCCCATTAATTTTATGATTAATCTGAACTTTTGGGGTTTGTAGATCATTGAGCTGAAAGAAGAGATAGAAAAACTCAACACCAATCAACCAACCAACCTGCTCTTGCTTTGCAGGTGACAGCTGTGCACATTCAGAGACATCAAACCACATTTTGAGCTGGAGTCCCCTTATTTTGCAGCCTGTTCCAAAGGACTGTAAGGAAAAACCAGGATGGAGTTCATCCAGAATCACCTTAAATGGTTCTGGGGACCTTCAGCAGCTCCAGCTCCAGGAGACCTGAGGCAGTGACCATTGTCCCCACATAACGCCAGGAACTGCACAGCAGAGTTGCTGAATTCAAGGGAGTGATGGAGGGATGTTAATTATAACAGAGAGAGTCACTATTTATTTTTTTGTAGTAGTGTCATATGAATGTATCTTGTTTTTAAAAATGGTTGCCTTTTTATATTATTTATGCCTTGAAATTCCCTTCTCCCTGCCCCCCCACCCCATGCACCATGAAACTAGCCTTGTTATGTGTATAAAAAAAAACCCAACACAAAACCAAAAAAAAACCAACAAGAGTTGTAATAATATAAAGAACAACGATGGGAAATTCAGTGTGTGTTTTCCATGGTGTGAGACCAGGAAAAACGTTTGGAGCAGTCAGATCCAGGGTCTGATGCCTCTGACCCTGTCAACTCAGCGTCGCGGTGCTGGAACTCTCCTTCCTATGAATATTTCCTGTCCTCTTCTGGTTTCTCGGAGAAGGTCCTGATGAGTAAATAAGAATAAATAAGAGAAATGAACCTTGGCTGGAGGAGCAGAGCTTGGTTTGGCGATTGCTTGTGCCTGTGGGTGTTTGATAACCCTTGCGTTTGCAGAAGCATGGGTGAAAATCCAGCCTGTCCCACCTTCCCTCGTTGCAGAAGACAAAATCCATTTCAGCTGTGCTTGGTTTGAGGGAATAACAACAGCTTTAACAGCCTTTGAACTGAAACAAGTCATGTTGAAGCAGCTCCTGCCAGCCCTACCTCTCAGAAATGGCCTGATGTAGGTGTTGCAACATTCACTGCAGGTTTTGGGGTTGTTACTTGGTTGGGTTTTTTCCAAATTTAGTCAGAGCAAATAAAACAAGCAGGTGCTTCTAAAGCACTTGCCCCCCCCC